AGCCAGCGTCTTCTGAGTGGCAGTTCTTCCAGCCAAACACTAAAGGAGTGCATTTTGGAATGTTGGACTACGGCTTTATATATAAGGAGAGATAATTGGAATTTATATTCCAATAATAATTGGAATTTATATAATTGGCTACATCTGTTCATGAGATTACTTGACTTTTATAAGTCTTTGTCAGGGCCGGCTCTATCACTAGGCCAGCTAGTGTCTGGCCTATGGTGCAGGGCCCATCCAGAGCACCAACTGCCCTGCTGCTGCCCCCCCAAAAAGCCCCCACGGGCGCGGGAGGAGGGGCCGGGGTGGCCGCCGGTGCGCCGTCGGTGCGCCTGGCCAGCAGCTGGGAGGAGCGCTGGGAGGAGCTCTGCCGGCAGCATGGGCGGCACTGTGGCGGAAAAGCCAGAGTGGGCACAGGGCAGGGCGCGGTGCTTTCCTCCCCCCTGCCGCTGCCTTTCTCTGCCTCTCCTGCCCGGCTGCGGCAGGGGAGGGGGGGCAGGCAGGAGTGGGCCCCTTTTATTCATGGTGCAACTTGCCGAGGCCACCGGGGGTGGGGGGCAGGGGGGTGGGCAAGCGGCAGGTCTTTCCCCCTCCCCGGCGGGCCTCTGCAGGGTGTCGCCGGTGCCACCTGTGCCACCTCCGTCTCCCCTCCCCTGATTTTCTGGAGCCCACCACCACCGGGCTCCTCCCTGTGTGTGTACTTGGAAGGACACCCCTGCGAGGCTGACTCCCGAGGAAGGGCGGGGCAAGCCGGCTCCGTAGCTGCCTCTGCAGCTGGGGAAACCGAGGCCTGCCCCCCCCCAGGCGGAGACCGTGAGGAGGAAGGCGAGGCAGCCAGGCCGCAGAGACCTCTCCGCCCACCCCTCGAGTCCCCCACCGGTGCTGCCTGTGCCGCCCCCCCCACAGCCCGCGCAGTCCCCGGCGATCCAGGGGTGGGGGCTTCCCTACGCACCACCTCTCCTCCAGCAGCTCTCCCTTCCTTTGCCTGCCACAGCCACGCTGCTGTCCTTTGCCGCAGGGGGCGGGGCGGGCACCCGGCTGGCCTTCCTTTGGGGGGGAACGGTCAAGCTGAGGGACTTCCCCCCTCCTCCCAGCCTAGCGGAGAGGTCTCCAGGCCCCGCCGGGAGGTTGGCATCTGCGCTCGCCTACAGCGCAGGACAACCTCGGGCCAGCCCTGGTCTTTATACACCCTCAATGTTGCTGTGTCTTTTAAAAACAGAATTCTCCTGAAAACCAGAGGATTAGAACCCTTGGGAGTCAAATGTAGCTCTCTGACATGGCACCCATGGCACTTTGGAAAACCATTTCCCATGGTGTCACCTAGCCTATGTTGCAGGAAAGTGGGCAAGACCCTTGTCCAGTAGGGACTGTGGTCTGCAGTTGGTTCCCAGAACACTGCCACCAGAGGAACAGAAAAGCTTTAAGCCTTCCTGAGGTACAGGCCTCATGCCAGATTTAACAGTAGACATGGCTCTTTTGGTTGATAGTAACTGTGAATGTGGCTCTTTGCAACTTGCCGAGTGAGTACCACTGCTCTATTATAACTGTGGCTGGTCCTATTTTGCAGACTTAACTTTCTACATAGGGGTAGGGTTGCCAACCTCCTGGTGATGTAGCTGGAGTTCTTCTGGGATTACATCTGATCTCCAGGTGACAGAGAACAATTCAGCTGGAGCGAATGGCCACTTTGGAAGGTTGACTCTCTGGCATAATAGCCCACTTAAGTCCCTCATCTCCCCAAGCCCCTCTTTCCTGAGGCTCCACTCCCAAAATCTCCAGGTATTTCCCAACTCAGAGCTTGCGGCCCTTCATAGTAGGCCAGGCCCTTGCTGACAGAGGGATTTTTAGAAACTTCTCTTCATTAGACATTCTTTCATATTCATTCCAGGCCTCAGTATAATAACATCATTTAAGCAGGAAAATGCAATCCAATAAGCCAGTGCTGAAGGCCAAGATAGAGAAGAGCTGTTCAGCTACTATGTATTTCCCCTTGGAGTTTAGATAAGTAGGGACAAAGGAGACCCAAATACTGCAAAATACCAGCATGCGGAAAGTGATGAACTTGGCTTCATTGAATGCCCCAGGCAGCTTTCTGGCTAGGAAGGCTACAATGAAAGATATGGTGGCCAGGAAGCTCTTGTAGCCAAGAGTGTCATAAAACATGGCAATAGACCCTTCATTGAATTGCAGAATGATCTGTCTAACCCGGGAATGCATGCCCATTTCTGGAAAAGGAGGAGAAATTCCCATCCAAATGATGCAGACACCAAACTGAATAACAGAACAGAAAAGAACAATGACGTTTGCCATACTCTTCCCCAGCCATGTCCTCGTCCTGTTCCCTAGTTTTGGGATGATTTGGCAAAGTTCCCCACCTCCTTTCCCTCCCTTCTTCCCCTCTTGATCCCCATTTTCCCCTTCCTCAAGAATCCTTGCCATGGAATAGGATCCTGATTTTAATGGGATAATTTTAATTGCTCTCTACAGTCCAGTCGGGGAGATGAAAACTGGGAACATGCTTGGAAGACTCCAGTACTGATATCACTGCCCAAACCTCCCATGTATTTCAAAGGGCTCCGCTCCAAATGCTGTATGCTACTCTGAAATAGCTTATAATTCATCAATCAAGCAAGCAGAGGGGTGTTTTCATCCCTTGGTTAAAGGGATTTTGGACCAACAAAGTTTGTGCTACCATAGGTCATTACCAGCAGAGGAGGTAGGACAGAGGACCAGAAAGCAGAAACTGTCCTTGGTCAATTTAGACAGCTGGCACCTCTGTCTTGATATCAGTCTCAGCATTTTCATGGCAAAAATGGACAGTAATGCCCCTAATCTTACTTGTCTTGTGAGGAAATGGTGGGTGATGGGGAGGGGTTAATTTCTATGACCACTTGCTGATCATCACAAAAATTGTTAAAGGCAGAAAAGCAGATGAGTGGCTTTTTCCTGGTCACAAGCCAACCCTACAGGTCAAAGTTAAAGTCAGGGCATTAATATCATGGTAAGACTGTAGCTAGCCTTCCTTATAAGGTGGGATGCAGCATTTCCAGGTAAGGTCTGACCTTCTCCAGCCAGTTTTCTGTGTGGGGAGGAATAGTGACCTCATGGCTGGGGAGATGGGTCTGCAAACAGCTTGGCTGGGGCAGATTCAGGCCCTGAAGCTGAAGAAATTGGCTCTTCTTCCTTTAAGTCACCTCTTTTAGCATGTGCAGTAGAAAGTGTGTACGGGAGGTTACTTTGTAAAACCAAGAATTTACCTGAAAACAAGCTGTTGTACTTTAAATAATACTTCATCTGTCACATTTTCTGAAACATCCTTAGATGTTGTGTGTTCTGCTTCAGACAGGTGCCAGTGTACACAGAGTTAACTCAGGTAGATAATGGGAGCTGGTTATCAGAGGCAAGATGCCACAGTTTAATAAGCAGACTGTAAATTATACAAGAGTTGTCTGAGCAGGCCAAGGTCAGTTTTCCAAAAATCAAAACTGATACAGCCACAGCAGTTCAGCATCTAAAGGAACATGTTGCAGCCACACTGAAGAACTCCTCCCCCATACTTTTATGCACTACAAGCCCTATGTCACACATAAGAACATAAGAGAAGCCAATGTTGGATCAGGCCAATGGCTCACCTAGTCCAACACTCTCTCACACAGCGGCCAAAAATACCAGGTGCCATCAAGAGGTCCAGCAGTGGGGCCAGGACACTAGAAGCCCTACCACTGATGTCCCCCCCAAGCACCAAGAATACAGTGCATCACTTGCCCCAGACTGAGAGTTCCTATCTATACCTTGTGGCTAATAGCCACTGATGGACCTCTACTCTAATTCCCTCTTGAAGCTGTCCATGCTTGTAGCCGCCACCACCTCCTGTGGCAGTGAATTCCATGTGTTAATCACTCTTTGGGTGAAGAAGTACTTCCTTTTATCTGTTCTAACCCGACTGCCCAGCAATTTCATTGAGTGCCCACAAGTTCTTGTATTGTGAGAAAGGGAGAAAAGTACTTCTTTCTCTACCTGCTCTATCCCATGCATAATCTTATAAACCTTGATCATGTCACACCTCAGCCGTCGTTTCTCCAAGCTAAAGAGCCCCAAGTGCTTTAACCTTTCTTCGTAGGGAAAGTGTTCCGACCCTTTTATCATTCTAGTTGCCCTTTTCTGCACTTTTTCCAATGCTATAATATCCTTTTTGAGGCGTGGTGACCAGAACTGTACACAGTACTCCAAATGAGGTTGCACCATTGATTTATATTGATGTTGCGCTTGGAGGCGGGCTGACCTTCATCTGGACTGTAAATCCACTCCATGCCTGCGCTGGTATTGCTCTTGTGGAACTGGGGATCCTAGGGGAGATAGGCCAGCTGGACTGTCAGGTCAGGGCTGGGGGATGAAACCAGTACCTCACTGCCTCCTGGCTGTGTGTACACAGCAGGCTGCGATTCCCCATCTGGTTGCTCAGCTGCAACTGGCTGGTGGCTGGTAGACATAGAATCCAGCAGTCCCTCATCAGAGGAGTCAGAACTATCTCCAAGGTCTGGCTGTTCCATGACACCATCCCCTCCCCTAGGCTCCCCCCAACCGATTGATCTGGAGCCAGCTTCTGTGGGTGCACTTAACAGAACCGGCGCACCAAGTCAGGAGCATGGAGGTTCTCGATGGGTTCCCAAGAGCAATCTTCAGGTCCATAGCCTTTCCAGTCCACCAAATTCTGCAACTGACCTCTGTGTTGGCTGTAGCCCAAGATCTGTGCTACCTCATACTCCTCATGGTCCTCCAACATGATGGGTGGCAGTGGCATCTCCAGGGCTCAGAGAGGGTGTTGGGGAGTGGCAGGGACCAGAATGGACTGATGGAACACTGGATGTATGCAGAGTGTGGAAGGAAGCTGCAACACCCAGATGAAGCCCCTTTGCAAATTCTTGGCCAGGAACTCCCCAAGTGCCTCCAGTTCAGGTTCTGACAGGGAGTACAACCACCCAGTAGGCAAGGGGGCATCAGGTACCAGATTGAACGCACAAACATATGGCTGGTGTGAGGGCAACCAAGCTGCCCCTTTCTCCTGGAAGATATCCTGATACTCTGCATATTTTGCTGGAAGAGCTGACAGGTCTGGGCTGGTGGTAGCTCCCAAAAGCATAGGACGTGCTTCATGAGAACAAGGGTATTGGAAGTGCAGATCTTGCCTACTCCATTCGATTACTGGATCATGCATCTCCAACCAGGACAACCCCAGTACTACTGGGATGTGGGGCATGGTGGCAATGTCAAAGCAGAGCTGCTACTGATGGTGTTGTATGTACAGAGGTTGAGTTTCCTGGTTGCCTGGGGCTGAATGTAAAAGCCAGCCATCTATGGCTTCCACCAAGATAGGTGTCCTTTTAGCACATGTTGGTACCTTATATTGCTTGGCAAAACTGGCAGCCATGTACAAGCAGGAGGCACCAGAGATGATCATCGAATACACTAACAACCAGCATCCCTCTGGTAGCTGGAGCTTCACTGGGACCAGGAGATGTTGGTGTCCGGTATCAGGAGGGCCTTGGTGTCCTGAGGTGCGCCCCAAGTGGCAGGACCCATGCCTGCTTGGGCCCAGGAGATTAATGCTGGTGGCCGAGACTTGCACTGATGTTGCTCTTGTGGACTTGGGGTTCCTGGGGAAGATAGGTCAGCTAGCTGACCCTGAAGTGTCAGCTCAGAGCTGGGGGATGAAACCAGCACCTCACTGCCTTCTGGCTGTGTGTCCACAGTAAGCTGTGATTCCCTGTCTGGTTGCTCAGCTTCTGCTGGCTGGTGGCTGGTAGACACAGAATCCAGCTGTTCCTCATCAGAGGAGTCAGAACAGTCTCCAAGATCTGGCTGTTCCACTACAGTGTGAAATGGTGTTCCAGTATCCCATGACCCCATCCTGTTTGAAGCACTGTCTGGAGGGTAGGAAGGAAGTCAGACAGGGAACATCTCAACTCAGCTGATACAAATTTGCTGATCTGGAAACATTTATATCCAGACAAAATTAAGGAGAGCCAATAGGGTTGGGGATGGTGGCATTGGAGAGAACAGATGTGGTACATCAAGCACATGCCTGCTAGGAGCATTTTTGCAAGTGACATCATAGGCAGAAAGCCAATGAAATGGAAACAGTGACAGGTTATGATTACCCCAGGTTTAATTAAGAGTGTCAAGTTTAATTGGATCCATTCCCAGTGTTTCTGGATAATGTCAACAAACATTTAATGGAGTTGATTAAGATTAAGAAAACTGGCAGGAATGGTTTGTAGCAATAGGTTTTTCAGCAAAGCTGAAAAGGTATGAAGGCAAGCAGGGGATCCCAGTGCTCCTGGGGAGGGGAAAGTATAGCGGTGGGACCAGGCAGGGACACAAGGGAAGGGGACGAAGAAGTAGCTCAGCCCCCTTCCAGCCTGCGTCCCATCCCAAAGGTCATATGCAGCGGGGCTAGGATAAATTACCCTCCTCCGACATTGCTCTTGTGTAACACCAGGTCTATAAATAACAAGACCATGGTCCTTTGGGACTTTCTGCTTGAGCAGAATGTAGACCTGGCATGCATGACTGAGACCTGGGTGCGAGACAGAGAGACAGTAGCTCTCTCCCAGTTGGCTCCTCCCGGGTTCTCTGTCCTTCATCAATTGCAGACTAGGGGGCAGGGGGGGAGAGGAGTGGCTCTATTCATCCGGGAAGCTTACCCCTTCAGGGTGCTTCCGCCCCCGAGGATCACGGGCATTGAGTGTGCTGGCCTGGTGTGGAAAGCTGGGGAGAGTTTGGCAATTTGATTGGTGTACCAACCGCTCAATGGACCAGCCAATAGCCTGCTGTCCCTGATGGAGGCCATATCAGGTTGGGTATTAGAACATCCTGGACTGATAATTCTGTGTGATTTCAATGTCCATGCCAACAATGTGGCCTCTACTCGGGCAATGGACCTGGTGTCATCCATGGCAGTGCTAGGGCTCTCCCAATATGTAACGACTCACTGGGCTGGGCACACGCTCGATTTGATCTTTGCAGTGAGGGTTACAGTGGACCGGATCACTGACCTGGCAGTGCCATGGTTGGGCCACCTTGCCTTGAGGGCTCGGCTGAATGTGTCACCCCAACCTTGTTTGGGCAGTGAGCATATTTTAGCTTACCTGCAGAGCCAAATGGACCCTATGCAGCTTCAGATGGCTCTCCGGGATCCAATGACCCTCTGGCAGTTCATTAGAAGAGCTTGTAGAGGTTTGGCATAGCCGACTCTCAGCAGCCATTGCCGAGATCACTCTCCAACACCCTCTGCGCCCTCGCTCCAGGCTTACACCTTGGTTTACCCAGGAGCTGCAGCTAATGAAGCAAAGGCTAAGATGGCTAGAGAGACAGTGGTGGGGTGCCCGTGACGAAGCTACAAGAGCATCTTATAGGACATTTATGAGATCCTATGAGATGGCAGACAAAGCTGCGAAGAGAGAGTACTATGCACACACACAACAAACCTTTATTGGCATAACAACAGCAGCAGCCTTAGGTACAGAGGCGGTAGGCACTCAAAACAGTTAATTCACTACCCCTTCTGCTGAAAAAGAACTTCTCCTCCTCTACGCTTTGTAAAGGAAGTTTGCCAACTCTTTGATGGTATCAGCCCTGTTTGAGGCTAGAAGGTTCATTATCTTACTTTCCTCAGATTTGCCCTCCAGGGTTTGCAGTATAGGGACGAGGTGATAAGCACGCAAATCCTGGTAAAATCTACAAGTCAGAAGTACATGATCCATTCCTTCAATCTCCTTTAGCCCACAGGGACATAACCTATCCGGGAATGGTATTTTTTAAAATCTCCCATATAACACAGCTGAGGGGAGCACATTAAAATGGGCCAGCGTGAATTCCCTTCTAATATAGGGATCAATCAGACTGGAAAAATACTCTGGCAGCGGCCCATTAAGAGAAATCCCCCAATGAATGGGAGAGCAATGCCCAGTAGCAAGGCTTCTAAGTTCTTGCATTTCTATATCGATCAATCTCTGTTTAATCATGTCAAAAGCATACTTCTCCGAAAGAAGGATCAAATCATCCATGCTGAACCCCACCACTGTAATTTTCCCTTCAACACGTGTCAACCAATCTGATAGGTGAGATTCACATAGCATATAAGCGATGAGACTATTAAGCTCACTTCTATAGAGGAGGCGCAGCCAGAATTTAAAAGTTGAGAGCCATGCTTTAGTGACTAAGCATCTCTGGTTTGTCTCAAGGCATATTGCCACATAAGGTACGCAAGTTGGGAGCCCTAGAATTTTTCTAAGAAATTTGGATTGAACACTTTCAACCATTTTATTAAAAGCAGAGCTCCAAATTGGGGCACCGTAGAGTAATTTAGCACATATTTTGTGATTAAACACCTTGAGAGCAACAGGAATAAATTGATTTCCTTTCATATAATAAAAGCAGGAAATTGAAAGTTCACTGCTATTCACTGATTTTACAACCTCCTTAGTGTGGGAGATCTAGTTAGCATTGTAATGGAAGTGTATACCAAGGTATCTGAAACTCTTCACCTGTTCGATAAATTTCCCCGAACAGGGGCAGTGTCTTACTCCTAGCTTGGGGAAATGACCGTTAACACCACTCATAAAGGGTGCCAGATCATTCAAAAAGAGATTGAACAATATCGGGGCCAGGATACAACCTTGCTTGACACCCACTGAAATAGCAATTTGTGGTTTTAGGTCACCTTCTTTTGAGTATCTCACCTGGCAAGTAGTTTCTGAGTAGAGGTTTTTTTTTACCAAAAAGAGCAGACGTTTATCATTCCTCATGTTATTCAGTTTCCTCCACAAGAGATCCCTGGGCACTGAATCAAAAGCTCCCTTGAGATCTAAGAAAGCTGCATATAATTTAGGTCCTTTCCCTTTCCTATATTTATTTACTAGATGGCTGACAATGATGCAGTGATCTAAGGTTGACTTGCCCTGACAGAAGCCAATTTGCTCCGGCCCCAAAATTTGCTGGTCTGATATCCAAGATTTCAGTTTATTGGCTAAGTGATTGGCATATAGCTTCCCCATAATGGATAAGAGACTGATCAGTCTATAATTATTTGGGAGCTGAGGATCACATTTTTTAAAGATCGGGACTAATATGGCGTTCTTCCAGTAATCTGGTATTGCGCCAGACCGACCTAAGGTTGTAAAAAGGGCTGCTAGGAAGGGGGCCCACCACTGAGGGAAAGCCTTAATAGCCTCAGGTGGAATAGCATCAGGCCCTGGAGCTTTTCCCAATTTAAGGGTTGCAATTAAAGATTCAGTCTCCTCAAACTGCACAGGGGCCCAGCTGGGGCAATCGTCCAGACAAATGTCAAACTCCTCTTCGGGATTGTGCTTGGTCTCCTGGAAAACCATTGTAAAATAATTGTACCAGCCGTTGGCTGTAACTAAGCTGTTTCTTCCCATGGACTCGGCTACCAAGGCCCAAAATTTCCTTGAGTCATTATTAATTGTGGCCTGCAAGAGGGGTTTCCAACTTTTAATCAGAATTTTTTTTGCTTCCTCTTATAAAGTTGGTATAAAGCCTTTTTAGATTCGAAGTATTCTGAAGGGGGTTGTGCTAAATTTGACCTCCTATAACATTGGTAAATCCCACATAAGTGATTCTTCATCACCTGACATTCATTGTTGAATCACCCATGCCTAAAGGCTTCCCCACTGCCCCTTTGTTGCAGAGTACTATGGAGCTATGATTGCGTCTGTGAGCTCACACCCAGCCCAATTGTTTAGAACAATTCGGTCCATTACT